TTCTCTTTATTTTTTTCTCTTCTCATCAGCCTGCACTCACTCCCAACTACTCTTATTCCCCTCGAGAAGGACAGCCTTCTTAATGTTGTTTGTCAAGGCTGCCCCTTCACCTAGAGCCCCTTTTTCCACCCCCAGTGAAGATCTGTCAATATTCCAAGGTCAAACCACAGCATGCCCTGATCCAGAAGGCTTGGATGCTTCTGAGAATCTTCACGATGTCTCCCCTGTTCTGAACCTGCAGAGCTGCCACCCGAATCTCTGGTGGCTCCATCTCTGGTCAACTGTTGCTCTCAACTAGCTTTGTCTACCTCTCAAATCTTTGAGACTGTACCTCTCTCCAAGTAAGAACCTTGTTGTTCACTTTGATATCTCCTCTGCTCAGTACAGTGTCTTCCTATAATAGGCTCCCTAAATACCTAATGAATTTATTGAATGATTATCCCAAAGCATGAATATCTATTAAACCCAAAGTTCCTGAGCTACAACTGAAAGGGGAAAGCATGAAATAAAGCTAAGGATAATTCTTCTGAAATGCATGGCAGTGTATTTCCCTGGACAAAGAGCCCAAAACATAACAATGGTAACCATTGTCATTGTTGCTGCCTACTGTTGTGCTAGGCACTCATTACAACTTGGAACATTACAAATGGATGCACATTCTGCCTAGAAAGAAGCTACAAGATATTCCCCCCTGTAAAGTCACTCTGCAAAATGTTGGCAGGGTCTGATAGATTTGCTAAGCTAAGGTGGCTCTGTTGGAAACTGAAGCAATTTGTCAAACTCCAAGGGGTTGTGAGCATGAACATATATGGGAGAGGAAATTTAATGCTGCCTGGAATGTGAATCTAAGACTTTTGCCCAAAACCAGACAAACCAGAGAGGAAATAGCCCAAGGACACTGAAATGGGCAGGACAGATCCCTGTGAAATTGGCTCTGGTTAAAGGTTGCAGTAGGAAAGATTGACATCCTTGATTTATAAGCAAGGAAATGCCAGTTTCCCATAGAAATGGGCCCCAGCCTCAAATTAAATAGGCAATTTATAAGGATGAAAAGGAAATTGAATCCCCAAACCATGGCTCTAACCCTTGCCCTCTCTCCTGAAATTTCAAGTGTTGGTAGAAATATTTGCTGAGTCAACACATACAGTGAGCTGGAGAATTGTTTGTAACAGCAACATAACTGCTAGTGAACGTGCACGATCTCAGAGTCATTGGCTTTAAGGAGACTGTCCACATAAACAGGGCCTGAGATCAGAAGAAGAATAAAGATGAACAAGTGTGACCATTCCCTGGGAGTAAAGGGGAAATTGGACTTAATTCATGTTGATGCAGAAAAGGCTTTATAAGTAAAGAAATACAGGCTGAGCACAGTGGGAGGGACAAAGGTGACCTAGAACTGGGATAAGCCACTCTGTTCCCACTGCGGGCACCTAGTAAACATGGTGTAGCCTAGACCGGCCACTAACTCCATATTATCCAGTATCACGATGCTAGTTCATCAAAATCTCTACCTAATCCTCCTTTGGTTTTTACCATGTCTAGAAGTGCCAGGATGGATTATTAATTAGCAAACCTCTGTTGACCCCAATGGATAAAGTAATAGCAATATATAATATTTATCAGCTGTTTATTCTTTAATGACCACTGTTCTAAACTTTCCACATTTGTCAATTTCTTTCATCCTCATAAACATGCCAAATGGCATGAAAACTATTATCTCCCATATCACAAATGAGAAAACTGAAACACAGAGAGGATAGATAACCTAGTTGAGACCACATAGTCGGTAAATGAAGGATCTGGGATTGTAATCCAGATAGGCTAGAATCTAAATCTTCATGCACAGATCAGATTCCTCTTTCCTCCTTCTACTTTCTGTGACAGGTAACCTGCCTGCCATTTAGAAAGGCAGGGTAGCCCGCTAAGTCTGTGCTTTTGTTTATATCACTCATAATTGTTGCTCCTGACTATGGGAGATCAAGCAGGAATATGGAGAAGAGAGGATGATCAACATGTAAGTGTGGAAAAGTCCTTCTCATATTGAACTACCGTAAGGATGTTGTCCTGGGTTCTAGATATCTCTCCTATGGGACTACACCCATGATGCATATTTATTATGTGCATACTCCTCCCTAATCCAGCTATATTCATCAGTCTACTTTATACAGATTTTTTTCTCTTGGGATCTCAATTCCTTTAGGGTGCACCAGGGAAATATTTTCAGTCATCTCCAGCACTGCAAATGCTGCAGCTCTTCATCCAAACCAACTCATTAGATCCTTCTATGGCCCACTAGGTTTTCCAAGCATCAGTTAGATGATCATCCACTGTGCGTGGAAGCTGGCAGAGACATACTGACACCTTCTTAAGAAGCCTGTGGATATGGGCTGCCAGAACTTATGACTCTCAAACTTCTCATAAACAAAGACCTCTCCCATATTAGACTTCTTTCTAATGGCTTCATGAGTGAGGGACTTTTAGCAGTCACAACCAGAATTTTCAAACTCCCCATAGTGATCTGGCATCTCACTCTGAAATTTTACATCATTTGTATCTTGGTGCTTCAGTTCAAAGTTCTAACTCAATGTGAAATCTTTACTGATCACATATTATGAACTAGATACTATCATACAAATTACAGATGTATCATCTAAAGTAAGTTTGAAGAGTTTTCTGAAATGAGTAATTTGATGTCTTTATTTTAAAGACAAAGTGAGTGTGATCCAGATTCTAAGCCCATTTCAGTGTGAAGTTGAGTTCATAACTCTCTCAAGCAAAGAACTCTGACAAGTACATAACTCACCTATATTTTTATTGACATCATTTTCCTCTGATATCCATTCTCTCTTGCTTTCATGCTTCTCAACTCTGTTAAAACAAATTTTTGACAGTCATCAAGGGACAGCATCTACCAAATCTTAGCTTCTAACCCAGCAGAGCTCTCCTGTTTTCTTAAACTTCTCTCTTCTCTAGCAACCCATGACAACATACTCTTGCAGCTTTCTGCCCACATCACTGGCTGCACTTACTCAGTTTCCCCTTTGCTACTTCTCCAGGTGGCCTCTATAGAAAATGTCCTGGAGCTAAGTCCTGGGTCTTCTTCCCTTCCTTATCTAGTGTGAGTGTTTTAACCATGTGTTGTCCAAATCTCCCTCACAAATCTTTCTAAGGAAAAAATATGCATTTTCACTTGGGAAACCTGAATAGGCATATCAAATAGATATGGGAACCTTTGTTAATCTGACCCTACCCAGATGTCCTTTTCCTGCTTTTCCTTTCTAGTTTGTCCCATCTGAAAAGTAATAAAGAGAAAAGAGAGGAAAGGAGAAGCGAGCAGAGGAGAGGAGAGGAGAGAACCGGGGAGGGGAGGGGGAGGGGAGGGGAGGAACCTGAAAGCAATTCAAGCCAAATACCAATGGGCCATCAACATGAAATACGCCATTTTCTCATTATCTACCTCTTTTCTATCATCAAATCTCAATAGTTTTACTTTCAAAATATATTTCAAGCAAATTCAATTTCAATCTAAGGGTCATCATGCTAGTCCAAGTCATCATCTTTTCTCCAGATTACTATGATGGATTCTAAGTAACCTCCCTGATCTTGTGTTATTACATCTACTCATATGAAATCCAAAGCATCACTGCCTAGATCAGAGCCTATCAATACCACCTCTTGCACTTAGAATAAAAATACACACTTGGTTCCACAGCCTACTTCTTCTTCCTTCTCACCTCAAATTTCTTCTTTTTGCTAGTTGTGCTTTAAATTTGCTGCCTTCTCTTCACTTCTGAGCATCTCAAGAAATTTATATTTGTATTGTCTGCATATAGTAACTAATTCTAGCTTTATACAGCAGTTATACTTTTTAAAAATATCACTTCAGATAGCACATTCTTCAAAAGGTCATCGCTGCCCATATTTGAAGTGGCTTTATCCAGTTACACACTATGTCTTTCTGACCTTTGTGATGGTTAATATTGATTTTCATCTTGATTGGCTTGAGAGTACCTAGGAGATTAGTAAAGCACATATTCAGGTACGTCGGGGTGGGTCATGAGATCGTGAGCGTGGGCACTATATCTGGTCACTGATCCCTTCCTCTTCGGCTTTTTCTCTTTCATTCTGCTTCAGCTTTCCTCCACTGTGCTCTTTCTGCCCTAGAGCAGGTTGACTGTGGACTAAAACCTCTGAAACCTTCCTTTGGACCTGATTTGAGAGAGGCGTTTGGAAAGGTGTAAATTATCAGCTAAAGAAGCCTCGGAATGCTATAAGAAGAGATTGATGGTCAATTCTGGTAGGGGTTCAGAGATCAAAATGCTTATAGGAATTGGAACATAAAGACAGTACTCACACTTTTCTGGATGGGAGAAAGGATTCTACTCAGAGTAGATCCAGAGGCCATACATGTTACACTCTGACAAAGAATCTGTGACGGGCTGTTTAAAGGTGACAGACTAATTAATACAGCAGAGGATATTTCAAGACAATGCAATATTCAGGTTGCAGTATGGCTATTGCTGGCTGCTTTGGGGCAGATTTAAAAAAATCAGGAGTGAAAAGAAATATTTTTGAACACTGAAGCTAGGGCCAGAGATGTGATTGCTGAAAAGATTAGTGTCATTAAAAAGAAACCAAGTACTTTGATCGTTTGCACCAGGACAATAGGAAAGATGCTTTGAGGGCATCTCAGGAATCAACATGACCCCACCCATTGCAGGTTCAAAGATGTAAACGTGTAAACTCTTTGCTTTAAAATGGGAGTCTGGGTAACCTGGTCACTTAAGGCTGGCTATGGAAGTATTCCCCCAAATTTAGCCTAGCCATCCATCCAGGCACTCAGAGACCACTTCAACCATGGTTCAATGATGCCCGGCTACTGTTCATGCTGGTGACCGACTCTGGTATTATCTACATGATAGTGGCTTTTCAGGCATGCAAAATGAAGCGTTGTGAGGTCATAGAGCCTACCACACAGATACTGAAAGAAAGCCCAGGAGATCAGACAGTCATTAGAATCCCTTCTTGGAGCCCCTGAATAAGCAATGCATGAAGCTGTGGGAGTGAGATCAAAGCTGCCATGGAGACCCCAGGAAGCCTGAGTTTCCAAGAAAATGAACCCACTTCTGAGGAAAGTTTCAGGCAGTGAGCAGAGTCATCCCAGGACAGAGGCACAGTGAGTTGTAACCACCAATGCCACAGGAACAGAGCCATCTATGTCCTGTGAAGCTCATGTCATGCCACCTTACACCACAGATCTAATAGGACTTAATATTCACTCTACTGGGTTCTGATCTTTCTTTGGTTCTTCTCCTTTCTATTTCCACATTCTTCCCTTTGGAATGGGGATGTTTACCCTGTGCCATTGTACTTTAGGAACATGTTATTTACTTTTTTAAGAATTATAAAAGGATTCACAGTATTGTAAATAGGTAAGCTAATTAGGAGTCTTGTTGGCAGTTAGACAGGGCCAGCCCTCAAGGAGCCAACATGAGAACAATTGAGGCATGTTCAGTAGTAAGCATTAAAAAAAAGAAAAGAGGTTAGCATTATAAAAAAGAAGATATTTGACTTCCCCTAGATATAAATAGCAGTGATTGAAATTCTAAATTAGGAAATTCCTTATATGTGACTCCTTTTCCCATTTGATTCCCATTTAATCAGTATTACCTGGGTGACTGTACTTGTAAACTTATTGGTTGGTCATAGTTTTGTTGAACCTCATGCCCATTTTTAATTTTCCACTGGGTCTCGTAGTTTTTTCCTGCATTGTATCCACCCCACCTCATGCCTTTGCCATATAACACACCTTTAAAAAGCAGAATGGGCTGGCAGCCCATTTCCGGTTCCCTTTCTGTCTCTCTTAGATAGAAGCTATTTTTCTCTCAATAAATTTTTCTACTCTTTACCTTTGTTGTTCCTAGAATTCATTCTTCAATTTTAAAGAACATGAACTCACATTTTGGATATCTAGCAGGTTTGAGAGTTGCATCTATTCCCCCTATATTAACAGTTTGCCTTGAGTTCCAAAAGAGACTTTTGATTTGAAATTTTGATTAGTGAAGAAACTATGTTAGCAGTAACTTTGTGCAGGACAGTTGCATAGTATTAAGCAGAGTGAGGAGCTTATTGTCTCTATTTAGAAATTAAATATGGTTTAAAGAGATGTATTTGTAGATCAAGTTAACAAGAGCTGGACAGCTGATGGTTAATCTTGACTGTCAACTTGTTTTTCATGAGCAAGACCTAGGAGATTAGTAAAGCACAGTTCTGGGTAAATCTTAGTGAGTCATTGAGGGCTGCCCTTTGGGACTATATCTGGTCACTGGCCCTTTCTTCTCTGGCTCTCTCCTTTCCACATGGTTCCCAGCTGCCATGAGGAAAACCATCATTCCTCTGTCCCTCCCTCTCACCTTAATGTTTCTGCTTTGGAGCCAGATAACCAGGGACTGAAACATCTGAAATCATAAGCCAAAGTAAAATGTTGTGGGCTTTCAGGTGCTCATGTCAGGGATTTTATTCCATCAATGGAATGGTAATTAATATAACCTTTATAATAATTATAATAATATGTCATATGTCTCACATAAGATATGTATTTATCTTGTTCATACCTATGTTTGTTAAATCATTGCCCCCCCACCAGCATATAAAGCTTTAGGGAAGTAGAAATCTTATCTTTCTTTTTCATTATAATATTCACATAATTTCTCTTATACTAAGAATTCAGTAAACATGGTTGATTGAGAAATGGAATGGGTGAATAGATAGATGAATCAAGACATGTAAATAGATGGTAGACACTATAATGCAGACAAGATATAAAAATGCTGAAGGGAGGGCAGGGGTAAGGGGAAAAAATGAGAATCAAGACTTGTCATGTAGAGGTACAAGATCCCAACAATGAATGTAACTGTACTGTATCCCTAAAATGTACCAATAAACTCAATTAAAGCTGAAAAAAATACAAAAAAAATGCTGAATAGAGTCTGAAAAAATATACTACAAAATATTTAATGGAAAAGTTGACCCTGTTTTCATCTGTCCCACAATTTTTCTACAAATGGCAGCTGAAATGACTACATTCCCTTCCTGGCTCAGCTTCAGGATGAAGGCACAGAGCAGGTGCTCTTTGTGTCTGATGAGTGAGAGGCAGCTGGGGAGAGTGTCAGCTGGAAGAAAGCTTCCCTTCCATCAGAACAAAAGTCTCCAGTAAGCACCAGGGTCCTGAGTGATCACAGCACTGAGGCTGCACTTGGAAGATTTTAATCCGAGAAAAATGGTTTTAATACATAACATGCTGTGAGGATATTTGTTTTGGAGCAGATTGAGCTTAAGTCAAATACTCTGCATTTACAATCCAAGTGATCAATAAATAGCCAAAGAACTTTGTTCTTGCTCTACAATACACTCAGGAAAAAATGGATGGATTTTATTATTTTACTTATTATTTTTTATCAGCAAAAGTAGAAAAAAAATGTAATTTCTCCCATCTCTCCCACTCTGCAAAATGAGAGAGGCAGTATGATAATATATTGCTGGAAAGAGATGCAGTTGTAGAGAATTATAAATCATACTCTTTTGTTTGCTTGGCATTTTTTGTTTATTTGTTTCTAATGCAAAGTACAGGAGATTTACCATAATTTGCGTTCTACAACCTGCACTACATGTGACAGAAGGAAAAAAATCTATTAGCAAAAATGGGTTTTTCCTTTCTGAGCTGAAAGTAAAATAGCACCAGGTTGAAATACTCATCTGTTTCACCTGCCCAGGTTTATTCCTTTTAATGACAGTCCTCCACCTTTAAAAACAAACAGGCAAAAAAACAACTCTTGCGGATTTTCTCAGAAATGGTATCAGTCAAAATACAAAGCTGTGTCTCTTGCTCTAGCCTGTGCAGATCATTATTAAATGTAGTGACGCACTTCTTTCTAAGAAAGGGAAAGATTATTTATCTCACTTATCTTTGTAGAGCAAAATAGGAAAAAACTGAATTTGTATAGATTCTGAGAGTGGAAAAATATGACTTGGAAATACTTCTGCATTGTTCTATGCATCCAAGACACACTTACTGTGTGAGGAAAAATTTTTCAAGTGGTTTATGTATGCTCCACATTCTGTAACTACATTTCATGGCCATAGTCAAGCATGTGGAGAAATAATGCATGAGTGGTTGAGGAGGGTTTGTGATCATTGCCTCTGTTCCCTCTCAAGGCAAGTCAAGAGGACGTGTATTTAAATTTTAGTATGATACCTTTAAGCTAGACAATCGGAAAGTCTTCTAAATTCAAAGGATTACAAGATGTGAGACTATCCCTAAGGGAGTCTTGATAATATAATCCAGGAGAAATTGTTTTTTAATTTTGTAATACATATCCAATGAAATGTTCAAGGAAAAATATAAAACAAATCAATTCTCATTTCACTCTGTGTGATGTATACATACATTTATATACATAGAAGTGATAAAAAAAACTCCTAATAAATAGTGGTCAAAATGGGATATAGATACTGGAGATTAGTATGGCAGAATGAGTTTTGGTCATGTGTGATTAGATACAGAAATTTGATAGGGTGAAAGTCACCTAGAGATAGGATGTGCTGGTTCTGAAGAACCCCATGTTGAGCATGATGTTCAATGTGAGATCGAAGATTAGAAGTGTACAGAGGGGGACTGGCAGAAGAGAAAAAGCGCTGAGTTCTCCAGGAACTGACATGAGTCAATTAGGAGATTTTTCATTGTAAAGGGCAGCTGAGGGCAAACAGCAAATCTCCAGAGCCATCTGAGGAGGTGTGGTCCAGAAGAAGTGACCCGAATTGGGCTATCTGTCTGAGAGTGATACTCATATGGCTCTGCTTCCATAGTTTTCTCAAGGCCTGGCCAACAACCTGAACATTTTGAAGGGCATGTTACTTGCTGGCTCTATTTTGGTGAACACATATACACACAGAGAGACAGACTTACAAGCAATTAATTATAATAATATTTTCACTGCCTTGTGTTAATAATTGTTTGCTGAATAGCAAACCCACTGAATGCTTGCTTACTTTTAAACTGTGCTAATGGAATCTGTGGGTAAGGAATTCGGACAGAGCCCAGCAGGAATGGCTTGACCTGACTGGGGATGGGGGTAATCTAGATAATCTGGAACGTGATGCTGGCTGCTTGCTGGGACCTCAGCAGAAATGTTAGTCACACACATACACATAGATGACGTATGGTCTCTCCACAGGAGCTGGTATAGGATCCCACACAGCCTGCAGGTGGTCCCAAGAGCAAGCACTCTGAAGGAACAAGGGAAAGGTATACAGCAGTCCTTTGATTTAGCCTTAAAAATAATACAGTGTCACTTCTGACACACTCTATTGATTGTGGCAGTAAAAGTGTCTGCCCAGGTTCAAAGGGAAGGAAACAGACACCACCCCTAATGGGAGGAATGCCAAGATCCCACAGAGGAAAAGCTGTACTGTAGGAGATGTTGTGGCCTTCTTGGAAAATGCATACTGCTTCATCAGTTAATTTGTAGGAAAAATATGAACATGTTCCTAAAATTAGAGTAACATAATTTTGACTTTTAAAAAATGCTAATATTAAGCAAATAATAGTATAGATTTAAAATTCTCTTACATAGCAGAATTTCATAGAACAATTCAGTAAATCAGGGACCTTTCTTACTTAGAAAACCCCATCTTACTACATTGATGGGCCATTGTTAAGAACAAAATTATTGCAAAACAAGCAGGGCTCTAAAGTTGGTGAATAAAATGGTTTAAGGCTCATGTGCAAGTTCTGGCGATCAGAAAGAGCAAGAAGATGAGCATTCATCTTCTTTAGCATTCAAAAGGACTTGGAGCCATGATGAGGCTAGCTTTAGGAAACCATATCTCTCCATAGAACACCGGACGCATTGACAGGAGTGCACCAAGCTGCTTATCACTCATAGACATTGAAGTATCATCCACCTTGATGACGGTATTCACAAAGAGCACCCAGAGCAACGACGGCGAATCTTTCAGAATGAGTGCCCAAACCACAACTCCAAGCCCACCTATTAGTTGCAAAGGGCCAACACTGCAATTAAACTTGAATACTGAGGTTTTAGTTTAGAAAAACAACTTATTCTCTTGGCTCATATACCGACAGAGGGCTCTGCATGCCCACTGCAGCACACATGCCATACATGGGTTCACCACCACTGACCTAGAGCAAGGCAAGTATCCTAAGAGATATCAGTGTCTACTGGGATCACCTCCCCAACACAAGGGCCAGGCACACTCTCAGACTCCTCAACTCCAAAGACACTTTTCATCCTACTGGGGCTACCAACTACCATAGCTACACTGCAGGGCTCTTTTACTCACCTTGCTCCATCTTACAATCTTCTCTCCCTCTCTAACTGTTCCTGCTCCTGAAATGAATTGAGACTGTCAATGACCCATCAATTTTCACCTTATATATTATCATTTCGTCAGTTTTTATGCATCTCAGATTATTCCCTTATTATTTGTCTTGGATTTCAAGTTTCATCTTGTTTTTTGTTTTGTTTTGGTTTGGTTTGGTTTTCTATACCAGGGATCAAACTCATGTCCTTGCACTTGTAAGGGAGGTGGCAGAACCATTGAGCTAACTCGCTGGCCCTCCAGGTTCATCTACTTAACAATATTTTCACCAATGCCCTTCTATGCTCTACTTCCAGTTTTAATCATTCATTCTCTTAGTAGCTTATGCTTTCTAAAACACAAGCCAGGATGACTCCTGTATTTCTATCCTCCCATAAGCTCTCCTGAGGCAATGCTTGAATGAAGCAAAATAAGAGAACTGCCTAAACAAGAAAAGACAAGTTGGTTAATACATCAAAAAGAAAATCTAGCCACATGAATTATTTCAAACAATATTTTAAAAATTAAATTTCCAATTACTGAAAAAATGTCAGTATACTACCAAAGTATATAATTGTGATCCTGACTATTTCCTCATCCTGACCCCAGCCAGGAGCAGCCTGAAAGAAACTTTCCAGTGGGTAAGATAATAGAATCCATCCAACTTTTGATATTTATTCCTCAAGTTGGAAAACTGTCTCCCATCATGAAGGAAATGTGGACAACCTAAACTTCAGCCCGCTGTACAAACTTCTGAGCCTCCTGCCATCTGTGACTTGTTTTTATTGTAAGATTCGCTAGATAATTGTCTACTTTTCTCTAATTTTATTTGAAAAAGGATGGCAAGGATGTTACATTTTTCAGAGACAAAGAGGGATGCAGAGAGAGAGAGAAAGAGAGACAGACAGAGAGACCGACAGAGAGAGACAAAGATAGAAAGAGAGAAAGAGGCTCCTGACTCCTGGTCTCCCTCAGAATGAATCTTTTTATAGTTCCTTGTAGCAGCTGCAGCTACAGACCTGACCATGATGCAAGTGATGATGCTGAATAAACCTGACATCCATCCTCTGTTGAGCTTTGGAAAGAACAGTGGTTTCTAAGCATAAGTAGCTTTTCTCTAGAAGTTCATACGAGACAATTATTGTCTTCCTGGACAGACAAAGAAATGACAGCAAAATCCTAAATTTCCATCAAGAATCAGTAGCAAATCCCAAATCGTGACTCCAAATCCCCTTTCACTTTTTCACCAGATAATCAGATCCATGCACACTTGCTGACCAGTAGTGGCAGATCCTGTCCTGTGACAAAGGTAATACACGGCTGAGCACTTAAGAAACATGTACAACTTTCTCTGTTTCAAAGTCTGCTGTCTTCCTCCTTTCTCTTCCTGTGCCAAATCTGCCAGTCTTCAGAGGCTGGAAGGTTTAACATAACTGCATGGCTCTGCCATTGTACATGATCTGTCATTTGCCAGTGTGGACCCACGGAAGCTCACCTCTGTATCTGTATGAGAAATCACAGCAATTCATTTGGACATTGCTGTTCCTTCCAGGCAAATGTGAGATAGTGCAGTTGGCCCATTAACAGTACAGCTGCATAGCAGATTAGACACATTGTGCTGTGCCGCCTGGTTAAAGCATGCACAAGCCACTTACAGAATTAGAGGCTGTCATTGCCGCAATAAGCTGGGGCACTATTTACAATCATTCCCAACACAGACAACACAATCTTAGTGTTCTGTGTAGACTGGGTGGCTGAAAATATCTCCCATTAACTTGGGAGATGTTTAGATGTTCAATAAAACCATAGAATAAAAAAAATAGAGCCTAGTTGTAAGGACTCTCCATTTAAAATTAAAAAAAAAAAGAGAAAATGATGGCCTTCATTAGCTTGCCCAAGAAAAGAAACTAATAACTTCCTCAAATAACCCAGGGTTTCACAAGTACAAGGCTTTTGATTGGTTGCAGTGTTTCCTGATACCCTTCAGAGAGAAAAAACTTTTATGCAGCATTCAACATCATGACATATGCTATTAAGTTTTCTATTTTATCATGAGAAATACATTCTTCTTTTATACAAATATCTCATTGATACCTTTGTATAAATGTTTTAATGATTTCAAAATAACTGCAGAGCCTTCTAGTTTTTATTACACATCTTAAATGTAAGAAAGAAATGCTCTGAACACCAAGATTGAGCCTGATTCCAAGCCCTCACTGACACTACATTCTTTGGTTCTCTCAAAGACATTCACAGCATAACACGGGGGAGCTTCAAGTGCAAAAGTCACTAATAGCAGCTGAAAGAGTTAGGCCAAAGATAGCAAGTACCGTGTCCCAGGGTTAAGGTGGCAAGATAACAAAATCTTTCTAAGTTTGGAGCAAAATGAGATACAATACAGGGGTTAGAGGGAAAATATCAGCCTTAGTACTAGTAAAACACATTTCAGAATTCTTCTTCAACTGGATTTGCTAATCCTTCCCCAAAGTGACAGATTCTCCCCTGATGTCATAGAACATCAAAGGTAGCCCTCCACAGGCACCTGATACTACCATAAAGAAGGACAGGGAGTCATTTAGTTTGGCCACAGCTTAGCTCATGGTTTCTGAGTGATTCTACACATCAAAACCACCAAAGAAAGCTTAGAAGCCCTCAGTGACAAGAATTCATGCCCTCTGGGGTTGGGACCTCAACACAGCATTGTCTAAAAGCTTACTAAGTAATCATAGTGTACACTGATCATTGATATCACCAGATACACCCAGAGGAGACAAAGAAGAGGCTGAATGGCACACTCTCAATTTATTCTCTTAATACTACCAATCACAGGAGTTGCTTCTCTTCCCAGGGAGATGAAAGAATAAAAGAAGGTACTTGCCACCTTCTAAGTCTACGCTTGCAGAGATGAGGAACTTTGGATTGCTTAGACTAGCTAAGGAGAAACCCATCCACCACACCTGATCACATAGTAGAGCCTGTTTTTCCATTCCTCTACTCTTGGCATCTAGAAGGAAGTGCTTGGATAGTGACTGGCTCCAAATAATCAGGTCTTGTATATCAGAATAGAGGCACAAACCCTCTCAGCTCTTCATTTCAGGCTATCTCACTAGGAAGCAAATTGTTCTAGCCTGTCTTTGCACAGATATTTATGAACCACAGAGAGCTAAGATTTAATTCTCCATTCCCTACATCCCTGTGGCAACTGGATCTCAAATCTGGGCAGCCAGTCAACACATCAGGAATCCACTAAAGCAAATCATTTTGCTTCTCCGCAGCAGGCTGACCAGTAACCACCAAGAATTCATTACCACTCTAGTCTGTTTACATTCACTAGGAATAGACAGTGCTCTGAATTATTTGGAGATATCTCTTTCCCTATAAATTAGTTTCAAGCTATGTCTCAAATCAATAGGCCAGCTACAGGAGTTTCTTCTTTCTTTCTTTTCCTTTGTCAGTCAAGAGGATATATAGGCACCTCCATTTATAGAACACATCCCATCAGATACAAAATCTAAAGATAATAATTTAATTTAAGAAATCAATGCCCTTTTACATTTATTTGCAAAGATATTTTCATTTCACTTTCACTTAATTTCCCATTATCAGTCTCACCTATCTCCTTGCCTTAAATATATCTGTCCTCCCTCTCTGTCCTGTGGATTACTTATAAGTAATTATTCAAGGAGATGCTTGAACACTCTAAAGAAAATGACTACTTAAAGGAAGTTTAAATAAAATTTTTAAATTAAAAGGAAAATCACTTGTCTGTATAAATATAGAAACAATGTTTATCTCATTTTGTGTTTCATTTTATCTTGTGCATATTAATCAGGTAGCACATATCAATTTAGCGTATAATTCAAGTAACAAAGCCAGGATGATGCTTGACCCCTCCCTTTGAACACAGGGCCAACCTGAGCTTAACATGGCGCCAAAGGAGCCAGGACTAAGAGAACAAAAAAGTTAATAAAACTAAGAATTGTGTTTTATTCTCAATCTACAGGGAGGTTTCAGAATGAGTTGAGGTTGTAAGTCAAGTCTATGTCTACATCTTCTTGTGGATGCAATATATAATAAAATGCCCAGCTCGATCCAGTAGACCAGAAAAGTTTAAACAGGCTCTAGAAACAAATTGGCAGCTGCACAAATTACTGTGAAACTCAACCAAAGGCTCAGCACAAATGAGGAAAACAGAGCAGTAGCATATACTTTGTGCTGAATGATGACCCTGTGACATGATCTGCCGCAGAAGTCAGAGGTGAGAAGGGGCTGATCTACAGAAATAAAAAATTTTTCTTTCATTTTTTCTTCATAAAGTTTTAATTCTGCTTCTGCTCATGGTTCTCTAATTTTAATTAGGATGTTCTAATATTTCCATTTTGCTTCTAGACCTTAAAAATATCCCAAATGCAAAAAAAAAAAAAAAAGACTGTAGAAATTCCTGCCTTACCACCCCACTTTTACTGGACTGGCTGTACCCTCTGAATAGGACATGAAGACCACAGAGCTTGGTGGTAAGAAGCTGGATATTTCTTTTCATAGACTTTTCCTCCCCTTTGAAATGAAAGTATTCACATCAAGATGCAACTGTAACAAATCAGATATTCAAAAATACTCATTCAACCAATGGTTAATGTGTACCCACTGACTGCCAAGAACTGTGTGTTCACAGGGAGCTACCTTCATTAGAGAAACCCCATGGCATTCAGATAATATTAAGCCAATCTACTCCACTAGGAAATAGTCCTCCCAGGAACAATTTTCATCTTATTCATCTCTTCATGTCTTGCACAGGGATTAGCGCACATTAGCTACTAAATAAATATTTTAGACCTCAGCTAGACAGTGAGTTTTAATACCATTAACTATTTTATGTAGAAACATAAATGTATTAGTCAAGATTATCCTGAGAAAAAGATCCAGTAGGCTATACATAGACAGATGACAGATCCATGGATGGGTGGATGCGAGGTGGAGACAGAAGGAAATTTGAGGAATCGGCTCATATCCTGATTCAGGCTGAGAAGTCCCACAGCCCTTCATCTGCATGTTGGGGATGATCCAGGGCTGCTGGTGGTGTGGCTCAGTCCATCCAAAGGCCTGAGAGAAAAAGAGAAAATGACGCAAGTCCTAGAACACAAAGCTCAGAGAAACCAGAGTTGGGAATGTCCAAGGGAAGGGGAGAGAGGAAAGAAGGGAGCAAGACAAGGAGAGAGGGAGAGGGAAGGAGGAAAAAGAGGAAAGGAGAGGAAGAAAGAGAGAGAGAGACAGAGAGAAGCAGGGGAGAGGGAGAGAGAGAGAGAGGGAGATATCCCCTTTATCTGGCTTTTTGTTCTTCCCGGGCCCCAGATGAACTAAATGGTACTGTACACTGAGTTAGTTAGGCTAGAACTTGCTTATTCAGTCAACTGATTCCGACGCCAGTGTCTTCTAGGAACACCCACACAGACACCAAGCATTAGTACCTTTATCAGATGTGTGGGTATCCCTTAATCCAGCCAAATTCACACCTCAAATGAACCATCACAGTCATTTCATTCATCTCTAAAAGGGTAGAAATAGGAAACAGGTTACAATGATACTGCGTGAAAATCTCTGCATGAATAATAACAAAAACAGAAAAGAGAACTTGGATGTTTTATATTTAATTAAGTTAACTTAAGTGTCACTGAACACCTGCAAAATCTGCCAGGAAATGTGTGCACCCATACAAAGATAGGCTACAGAGATAGTTCACTGTTGCACACAGACCTTGGTTAGAGAGTACCCTCAGTCCATACAGTGAGCACAGGTGATGACAATTATCAGGCTGTCTTAATTAATTTCTTTAGAAGAACCAATTATGAGAGTTAGCTTCACTTACAAAATTTGGGGGAAGAAGGTAGAATTTAATAAGGACCCTTTCCCTAGAGACAAGTAGTCACAAAAGTTAATAATAATAAAAAAAAGTAAAACAGAAACCCATACTGAAAAGAACAGTATCAGTATTTAATCACAGCAGTAAGGGTTGCTGAAGCTGGCAGTATTACATGTAATTGAAACAAAGTGTACTGATTCCTGATGTGGGGTGAGGGTGGTGTTTATACCCCACTACGTGCTGGAATACTGAATTGTGCCCGTCCCAAACACATCAAATCTGGGTTGGGATTTAGCTTAGTGGTTCCACCGCCTGCTTCCAAACACATCAAATCAGCATCGCAGGGAGGACAGTGCACTCAGGACCGAAAGATGCCTTAGTAATTTCACTTCACATAACACATCAGCTGTTTAGTCATACAGTACAGGAGCAGTTCCCTTCTACAAAATGGCGATCACAAAAGAGTAATCTAGCCAGCATACTAATAAAGGGAAATAAAGGTGTCTGGGAAAACTCTTTGAAATCCTCAATGGCTAATTTGGGAATTCTAGACTTTGTGTACTACAGAGACACAGTAAACATATTATTAAACAACTCTAATACAAGAGACATATTACTTCGAGGTTCAACTCTTAGTTTTATAGTTGCTACTTATCTCAGAACTTTTTTTTTTACAATCTCAAAGGACATTTCCAAAAGCTAATACAGTGACTATATCTGAAAAGTATTATGTGAGGGCTTCCTCTTCTTATACATGCTCTCTCTCCAACACCCCAGATTAATAACCATGCCTTTCTGGGTACTGTTATTAAGCTGGGGTTTATGGTCCCCTTTCCCAAACATCAATTTAATAATTTTGCCTACCATGAACTAGGAAAAATGGCCCCTACATTCTTTATTATTTCCCTTTGTGATGCCAACCTTGCTCATAGTCTCAGTAGGAGGATGTGTGTGTAAGAGATGATGGCTGGATGGCTGGATGGTTGAACGGTTGGATAATGTCTCAGATTTGGAGATTCCAGTTTTTCTATACTGTGTGCTTAAAGCTCACTGACAACAGCCATGTTCTTGGCACATAATCAGTACTTGACCTCACCAGCTACAAACTGTTTCGTTTTCTGTAGGTCAGAGTTACTCCTTTGGCAGGATCTGATTTAGAACCAACATAGAAGTAGCTTAGAGGTAAACAGGAGGGACAAAATGACTCCCAATACCCAAGCATAGTGATTTACTAAATGTCCCTTCATTAGACTCAAGTTACTGTTAAGCATATAGAATGACAATGAGGAATAATTGCAGTACCCTCTGACATACAGATCTGGTGATCTGGACCAGAATTTGATTTCTCCACAACTTTTCTATTTTCCAGAATTATGATTTGATTTGAACTCAAGTTATGGAGCCAAAAACATGTTTTGCAATCTGCTGGACCAAAGTTATTTACGGATTGTTTTTTCCAGGCAAAAGAAAAATTTTAAGGCAGGGATACATACCCGTTAACACAGTAAGTTGAAATGTTCTTATTTCCTTCATAACAAATGAGATGCTTGGCAAGACACAAAACTCTTTTTTTGTTGTTGTTGTTTCTCTATTTTCCCATCTGTAAAAACTTTTCCCCATCTGTAAAAAATAAGGAAAAGGTAATCTGCGTATCACACATATTGTGTGTAGTGGCAAACAAACTTTATTGAGGATATATGTTGTAAATTTTAACTTCAAAATCATTGAGAATTTCAAAATACAAAGGTATATATTTTCCCTCATTTTTTAACTATGTGAGGGAATCCAATTCTGCTATAATATTGCATAATTTATTGAGTGCCCTGGGAGACAGGGAGGGAAAGAGAGAGAAGAGAAAAAGGGAGGGTGAAGAGGGAGAGAGAGGGAGAGATATCAAGTGTCTTTGAGTGTTGGTGGTAATGCTGTGGTTCTGTTGACATCCTGGTTCTGAGGAATTCAAGTGCTGTATGTTCTCCACCAAACATGGTGTATCTAAAATGCAGAGATGTGTGTCTCCTCACTCTAGGACAGATTGGCTAGAGGGAAAAGTACTCCAAGGTTATCTGATAAGATAGGAGCAAGGTTTTTGAAGGGCAAGATGAGGCAGGAATCTTTAATTTGGAGATGAGTTTAGAGTGGGATTTTCCAAAGGACAATCAGACTTTTGTTGGACAAATAAGTCAATCATCTGCTTCTATGAGATGTTAGGGATGAAGTAAACCAGTCCCATATTGTTACCATTTGGGTTGCAAAAGCAAAGCAAAGCTAACTTACATTGCTAAGTCAAATAAATAAAAGGGAAATAAATGCAATTTTTATTTGTATGGAAGTTTTTGTGTTGTTCTGAGATAGGGTCTCACTATGCTGCCAAAGCTGATCTCAAACTGTGATCTTCCTGCCTCGGCCTCTTGAGTATATGGGACTACAGATACATATCGCAATTCGAGACCAGAAATATTATTTTGATCTGGCACACACAAAAAAAAAAACCTGTATCTTTACTCCTATGGTGTGTGCACTCTGCCTGGGGCCCTAAATTCTCTGCCTGTATCTGACAGCTCCTGACAGCCATTCCAGCTGCAGAGCTCCCAAATGAGTCAGCTGCCACCTCCCAAAGGATGGATTTTAAAAGCAGCCCTGGTAAGTTACAAATGCTAATTGCTAGTCTCCATCTCAGGGTCTTTGTCTCCAGGAAACCAGTTATCACCACAAGGACAAAGAAATGCACCAAGGCAGTGGTACTGAAAAGTAGGAGAGTCACAAAACTACTTCAAGAAATGCATGGAATTAAGATTGACAGTACAAAGTACCAAGAGGATGGACAACTTTCTAATGTAGAGTACTGTTTATGATCTTATCATAAATTATCCATCATCTATGTATATAAATACATTTACACACAAAGATGTTATTTTTGTGTGTGTGTGTCTGTTCTTTTTCCTTTAGAATCGTTACATTGGATTCTAGAAGGGATTGAAAGCTATTTAAATAGATGAAGGCACAAAGAAAAAAAAACAAAGAGAACGGCCCTGAAGGATTATGACAGGGCTGATAGGATAAAGTGACTAGAAGAAGAGACAAAAAGACAGCACGCAGTGAGGTAGGAAGACAGAAGGACTCTATAGGGTCACAAGAGGTGAGAGAGCAGAGAAAATTAGTACTGATTAGTTAACGTATGTTGAAAGAATTTGATGAAAGGAGAGGTGAAAATGCCCGTGGACTCTTCCAGCGTGGAATATACTGGCAACCTTAACGAGGGCAACTTGGGTGTTGAAATGGAGGCCAAAGAGAAATGGGTAGAAGAAATGAGAAAAATGTTTTTAAATAAAAATATCAGAATAGGTAAAACACAACAGAATGAGAAAATCTGCAGGCTACACTTCTACAAAAAAATCCATAGAAACTCTAGGAAATTTTATTTTAAAAATGGAAAGGAGTCCTGTGAGGTGAGAACGGGTGCCATCTTTGGACCTAAAGATAAGAAGATCTCTCAAGAGTGCAGCGGCAATGGGATTAAACAGAAAAAGAATATTAAGCCCAACTCATAAGCTGAGGATGGTGTGGGAGGTGCAAGTGGTCCACAGGGTCCCTTGCTCTGTGATGGTGCGTGCAAAAAGCAGAGGCCAGCAGATCAAAGGGTGCTGCAGGGTACAGGCTAGCCTCTGTCTACCTCCTGTGCCTGTCCTACACTCAGGGAGCACTGAAAGATGGCCCAGAGAGAAAGAGCAGCTCCCCGTATCTGGTGTTATAAAAAGGAAAGACTTATCAGCTCACCACTAACTAGCTTCTAGAACATCTGCCCTTCATTGTTATCTTTATATCACCGTGGAAGACCAGCATTTTATGACAGACAATAAAGAGAAATTTGACTCTTCAGAGGAAATCAACTGATGGTGATGACTGGAAAATATCAAGGAGATAAGAGAGGATCTGTGGCATGAGAAATTAGTACTGATCGGGATGCTTAAATAAAAAGGTGATGTTAAAGAAAGGTACAGGGACATATTGTGGAACCCAGGAGTGAGCTGAAACATCCAAGTTGAGAATGTATCCCCAAATTGCAGGAAATTTTAAGAGACCTGGGGGATAGATCACAAAGTTTCAGTGTACATTTAACATCAATTTCAGAAGGCGAAAGTAAGAAAAAAAATTCAGGACACCAAGGAATAAAGAAATCCACAGTAATTTACGCATATTTTTAAAAGATTACCTACAGAGGAATGAAAAGAAGGACATATTTATTACTAGCACCATTTGTTTCAAGAAAAAAATGGGACTTACCTCTAAACTAATAAGAAAAATAATTTTTGAACAAAAAATGCCATTTGTGGCAATATTATCATTCAAGTGTGAGAACTAAACAAAGATTATCTTCAGAAATAAAGCAGCTCTAAAATTTTGCTGCTCTGAGTGTATTATTAATTCAGGTGGATAAAAAGCACAGAGGATTACATAAAGATGGTAGTTTGGCTACTACAGCTACTTCTGTTTCTTCTTAAAATCTCACAAAGAGAATAGTGAAGGCATTTAAAAAGGAAAAACCTCTAGAGCTGGCGAAGATGAGAGAGAAGTAAGCCATAACAAAATTCTGAAAGATACATATCACATGGATAAAGACAAAAATATTTCTGAGGCTTGGAAAACTAAATTCCAAACAAGCAGGAGGTAAATCCAACAGAAAACACAATTTATACCAAAACTGCCAAAAACTCAGTAATTGAAGAAATGAAGCATTTAGAATGTAGGTTGAAAGGAAGAAGCCAAATTAATGATTGGGAAATCCATTTAATAAGTCACCAGATCCTCTCATGACTCAGCTTAGCTCATTGACTGCCTTTCCTTCATCTGGCAGTGGAAGGAAGTCTTGTATTTTGAGAGAATATAACATCTGTGGGTTGGTGGATACCAGGAACAGTCAAATTTCAGAACACGGATGACTACTGGATACTGACAGTCCTATGCTCTCTCTTTCTTCTTAAATTTTATTTTAATTGTACAGCCTTATAGGGTATAATCTGATCATTGGATTCATGTATACAGTGTGAAGTGAAATCAAGTTAGTGAACATTTCTATATCCTTTGTTTAACACATAATAATTGTACATGTTTGTAAGGGCGCCATGTAAAATTTCAATACGAGTATACCATTTGTACTCAGAAAATCAGAGCAATTAACATTTCTATAACCTTATCGTTAATTTGTGTTTGGAGTCTTTTATCACCACTTTTTTAGTTATTCATAAATATATAACAGGAAGGTTATTGTGAACTATAGTCTCCGTGCCGTGCCACAGAACTTATACCAGGACTTCTTATTGCTAGCTGAGTTTAGGGATATGTTATCTGACCTTCTACTAGCCTCCCTGCTGACCCATCACAGCCCTTCACAGTCACCATTACACTCTCCAACTGACATTTATTTTAACTCTACATATGAGAAAGAATATGTAGTCTGTCTCTGCGTCTGACTTATTTTGCTTAACATAATGTCCCCCAGTGCCACCAATTTTTTGCAAATGTTCTTTTTTTTCTTTTGTTGAGTTTATTTATACATTTTAGGCGTACAGTATAATTACGTTCATTATTGGGATCCTGTACCTTTATATAATAGGTCTTGGTTCTCATTTTTTCCCCTTGTCCCTGCCCTCCCTTCACCCCCTCCTCCCCTCCCCATTTACAAACACTTTATTTCCATTTTTTCATTTTCTCATATTTTTTCTTTTCCCTTAATACCTTTCCCCTACCCTTCCCATTTTCCCTACACCTTTAGCCTTTTCTTCCTATTTCACATGGTCAATTATACCATGAGGATCTTATGTAGTATTATAGTTTTTCACACCAGAGAAACTATTTGGTATTTACATGTGTGACTTATTTATTTCACTTAGGAGTATATCCTCAATATTTATCCATTTTCCTATGAATGAATCTAATTTCTCATTCTTTATGGCTGAGTAGTATTCCATTTTATACAAAAAGCACATCTTCTTTATCCAATTTCCAACTGATGGGCAAATGGGCTGTTTCCAAGTTTTAGCTATTACAAACTGTGCTGCTATAAACATGGATGCGCATATATCACTGTGACATGATTCTTTTAATTCTTTTGGAAAGATACCCAGCAGAGGGATGCTGGGTCAAATGAAACCTCTAGTCCCAGGTCTTTGAGGTATCTGCATATTGATTTCCATAGTGGTTGCACCAGTCTGCACTCCGACCAACAATGGAGAAGGATTCCTTTCTCCCCTCAACCCCGCCAACATTTGTTATTATGTTATTTCTTGATAGCAGCCATTCTTTGTGGGGTGAGGTGGAATCTCAGTGTTGTTTTCATCTGCATCTCTCAAGTGAACAGTGAAGTGGAACATTTTTTCATACATTTACTTGCTGCTTTTACTTCTTTGTCTGAGAAATGTCTGTTCATTTCAGATGCCCATTTTTGAATCGGGTCTTTACATTTGGGGGGCTGCTTGTTTTGAGTCCTTTATATATTCTTGATAGTAGCCTTTTGTCTACAAAGCTACTGTGATTAAAAACAGGTTGGTACTGTCAAAGAAACAGATCTGAGGATCAGTGGAACAGATTGGAAGACACAAAAACAACTCCAGATGTACTAAGCTACATCATCTTTTACAAAGGAGCTGACCATCTCCACTGGAGGAAAGATAGCCTCTTTAAAAAATGTTGCTAGAAAAACTGGATTTCAACCTGCCAAAGATTAAAACTGGACCCTTATCTTTCACCATGCACTAAATTAAAACCCAAGTGGATTAAGGATCTAAACATTAAAACAGAGACACTAAACTTACTAGAAGATAAGTCAGACAGAACTCTGGAGGATGTTGGCATAGGAAAAGACTTTATGAACAAACTCCCAGTAGCACGGGAACTAGCATAAAGAATCAACAAGTGGGATCTCATCTTATTAAAAAGCTTCTGTACTGCAAAAGAAACCATCAACATAACTAAGAGACAACCTACAATGTGGGAAAAAGTTTTTACCAGCTGCTCCTCAGGCAAATGTTCTTTTTGAAACTGAATAATATTTCATGGTTATAAATCACATTTTCGTTAGCCACTGATGGGCATCTCAGTTGATTCCATGTCTTAGTTGTTATAAAAAATGCGTGACAAATATGAACATGCAAGTGTCTTTTCTGAAATGCTTATATCATTTCCTTTGGATATATTACTCAGAAGTTGGATAGTTGAATTATATGGTGGATTTTGCTTTAGTGGAACTTCTATACTGTTCTCCATAGTGGTTGTATTAATTGACATTAATGTATGAGAATTTCCTTTTCTCTGCATCCTTACCAGCATTTATTATTTTTTTGTCTTTTTGAGAAAAGCCATTCTAACTGGAGTGAAATGATACCTCACTATGATTGCAACTTTCATGTCCCCAATGAAATTAAAGATTACAAAGTTGGAAATATTTTCATAAATTTCTTGGCCACATGAATTGAATTTCTTCTTTTGAAAAGTATCTATTCAGATCCTTTGCCCTTTTTTCCTCTCTCTGGTTTTTTGAGACAGTATTTTTCTATGTAGTTTGCCATGTAGACCAGGCTGGACTCGAACTTGCAGTGATCCTGAACTGTTTGTTTCTTGTTACACAGCGTTTTAAGTTTCTTATACATTCTGAATATTAATCCTATGTCAGATAAATAGCTTACAAAATGATTTGCCCACTCTGTAAGCTGTCTCAGCTCTGTTGTTTCCTTTCCTAGGCAGAGGTTCATAATTTGATACAAACTCATTTGTCTACTTTTGCTTGTTTCCTGTGTTCCTGTGTTCAGAAATTTATTAAAAAGTTGTCTAGGAATGGGGATTTAGCTCAGCGGTTCCGCTGCCTGCCTCACAACTGCAAGAGCATGAGTTTGATCGCTGGTA